CTTTCCTATACACTTCTGTTATCTGTCATTTTCATTCGTATTGATCTACCAAACTTCTTTAGTTCATTTTGCCACCAATTTGCAAATCACGAGCTGCTAACTCTTTCTTTGAACCGAATCTAACGTCTCTCTGGACTAGCGACGATCTTCTTCCAACCTGTTCAGCCACTGTCACTTTATCTTCGTCACTCAAGTAAGGACATCGTAGACTTTCGTTTGTGCACTTATTCATTCACTCGTTCGTTCTCCTGCTATTTCTTTTGAATCCCAGAAGACATCTTGCCATGCTAAATGTTGCGCTGTCTGCAAATTTTGAATAGCTTTCAAGCTTAAGGGGAAAGTTTCCCCCACAGACTGGGAGCGGACACTGGTCGAATATCTTCCGTCTCGAACAGATAACAGCGGTTTCCCGGATACGAATATTTTTAGTCTTCCAAAAGTGCACAATACCGATTTCACACAGTCGGTTCTCTGTTGCAGAGAAGCGCTGTAGTTTAGCTCCAGGTTAGATGCAGTTTAGCACCTCCTCAAGCCTAAGTCGATGGGCTTCAACTGGTCGACGAGTCACGTATTTGTTCCACATCACCTGCGTCTTTTTCAAATTCGTTTTCAGTCCCACTTTCATGCTGGCATCGTTCAGCAGTCGGAATCTTTCTTTGGAGTTCTTCTGATGCCCCTGAGACGATAAGAATGTAATCCACAAAACGCATGAGGTTTAAGTCGTGCACATTTATGTTCCGCCCTTGATTTTACCAAGGAAGTGTCTTGAAAAAATCCCCCTAGGATTTCTGTGAACAACCTCAGTGATACTAGCTCTCCCTATCGGACGCCCCTTCGATTTTGCACTCGACTACATTCATGAAGGGTCATGCTAGCAACTGCACACGTGCAAATCATGGCGACCAGGTTTGTGCCCTTTCTCGATTCTCTAACTCCTGAAGGAATTCAGCACAGAGCCGATCCCAACTGAGTAGAAAACCTTCTCGAAATCGACGAACCACAGCCAACAAAAGCTGATGTTCGCTGCTTGTCTGTATTACTTGCTGTACCACCTGGAAATTCACCTCTAAATCCTGCCTGCTCATTTGGCTCTGCAGTGGCCAGTTTTCCAAGAAGTCTGTTCGTCGTGACCGCTGCGATGACAATAACAACGATGTGGCAGAGGATAGGTACAAGTGGATTTTCGCTGGAAGAGTAACTCATTTCTCAGCCCAAATATTGGGCAGGTTTGCAGAAACACTCAAGTCTAGGGCAATCGTCCCATTTAACTATATGGATGCTGCCATCATTGGATATGAGGATAGTCTAAGATGGATGCATGAGCGTGTGGCAGTCTTCAATTCGAACCAAAACCTAACATTAGCAGTCTACACTGAACGATTTACAATGTAGCTATAGCTGATATGCTGGTGACGAAAGAAACGATGTCGACTAATGATGACAGTATTAATTGAAAAGATTCTGTCTGTTACCAAAAGCTTGCTTTGTTCCTATTTGGTTGTAATCGCATTTCATCAAAACTCTGCTACGGGACCAAAGTTAGATTACTCAGTGGAGGGCTTTAGCACATACAGCATTCCTCGCTTCAGTTCGAAATCATATTCGCTGAGTTGTCCAGCGTATAATTGGAGAAATCTGATTAGTCTTCACTGCGTTCTTGCTCTCCAGTACATCGCCATCGTTTCCTTTCAGAAATGAAATATGTTTCATTTCGTGACGTTTCGGAAATAGATCAGTAAATAAAAGGAAATTATTTTAAAATTCAGTGCGCACAGAAGCAAGCTCACTACTAAAGACAGACTGCGCTGCGGTGCGAACCGTCAGGTCAACAATAAAGCATAATGTGTTTACACGTTTCGGTGATTACCACGCTATATGGTTAGCTATTGGTCGTGTTAAAATGAACCACTCTTGAACACTACGCTGTGAACTACTTGCAACATTCGCTCAGTTGGCTGCGACGAAGCGCGCTGACGTAAGAAATCCTCATTCAAGGGATTTAGTAGTTATTCGTTGACACTTTTCTGCGCAGTTGGAATTCGACGCTGACACTTCTGCAGTTCACAGCACACCTAGTTTCACTGGCGTTTCGACTTCCTTCGCGTGTACAGTCACTGGCGGGAAGACTTGCTATTCGATGGCAGTGAATCGATACGAACTATCAAAAGATTTGTTACAATCCTTATGTGACCCTTTACGAAAACGCTAATGTGCAACTGGAGCATATGACGACGAAGAAGCCTAGCGATCTGACCGACGACCAGCCTGGTGCAAACATGAAAGGTTTTTAGATTACAAAAGGGCGACGGACAACGACCGGAAGTCTGAAAGCGATTTTCGTCGTCAACCACTGGCTGCTGACAAGTGAATGATCTGAATGATCCAGCGGATCAGCTTTCCGGCTTTCACAACAGGCCAACCAAAAGAGCGTCGATCGCCCGCGCGGCTTATAAGTCATTGGTCAAGCAAACGAAATGACGGCTCTGTCATCTACTTTCAAGAAGCTATGACCTTCGACGGTCGGTGGCTTTTGCGAAAAATGCGAGAATCGAAGCCGAGGAAGTACTGTACAGCAACAGCAGGACTGGCGGCGGCTAGGCGGCGGCTAGGCAGCGGCTATGGCAACGAACGACAACGACAGAGAAAGTAAAAACGAACAACATACGTGTAGTTGGTTCCCTGTAAATCGCCCGGATTCTTTATGTACGTGACGTACTGCGCTATGTTTCTGCCGACCGGGATCGATTCTGACAGGTTGAGCAC